CCATATACTACAATATATACATATATATATAGATAGATATAGATATCGATATATCAAGATGTGCATATATGTTTAATCGCCTTTATCTATGTCGGTCTGCTAGTAATGCCAGGCCGATTGATTTCTAGGCCGTTGCATAACGCAGACGCGCTTACCTTCGCCCATAATTGAAGTGCTGCCAAAAGTGCGCAGCGTACTGCAAATTGCCAGCAACAATTAAAATCACGTCGCATTCCCATTAAGCGCTTAATCAGGAAAATTTGAATGCAACTGCAGATCGCAAACGAGCCCAGGCCCCAGTCCCAGACCCCAGACACCAGACACCAGACACCAGCCACAGACCCAGGCTTAGACCTAGGCCTGGGCTGACGCAAACAAGCAATTAGCAATTAAGAGTGAAAATAAAAATTAGAAAAAATTGATAAAGTGTGCAAATCATTTTTTGTTTTGTTTTTGTTTTCTGCCTCTTCTATCTGTTTTCTTTCCATTCGCATGCTTCACATAGCATATACATATATACATATATACTATATTATATGATGCATCAGGCGAACAGCAGATCGAAAGCAAAACCGAATTCAAATGTCATTTTTATGATTGCATAACCGCCACAAGGCATCATAATCACAAGGAGCTGCAACAGGTGCAACTCGTTTTTACCTGCCTGCCTGCAAGCTGGCCAGCTGACCAGCTGGCCAGTGGGCCAGCAAGTGAAATGCTGAAAATGGCAAGTGGAAAACCAGCATTTCCACTGGCGCTTGCGCAATGTCGTTTTCAAATTTCCACACGCAACAATTTTGGCGTAAAAAATTTCGATCACGCCAATACGTAATTCGTCCAAAACTGAATTAGCCAGTCCCTCTTGACAAGACTAGAAAAAACTAAGCTGCTAATGGCTAGAAGGCAATCGGACTGGCCTGATGTCCGTTGACAGTTTGAGATCAATTGAAATATAGCTGAAATTTTTAAGAATTTTAAATATCATGCTGATTCAATTGAAATTCATTTATATGCACAAGAAATGAAGAATTTTTAATATAGATGTAAAAATATTTCAAAATTGTTGCAGGTTCCAAGAAGCCATAGATCTATAATTTTCGAGCGATTCATATATATATATATATATTATTTTTTATTTTTTATTTTTATTTTTTTTATTTTTTTTTTTAACTCATGAGCTTAGATTCTCCAATTTTTAAACACATTTAAAAGAAATGCAATTATTCAATCAATATTATCAATATCTCAGAATAACGCAATTGACTGCATACTGTTTATACAAACCACATAAATAAATAGTCTCTATCTAACTTAGTTTACGACTAACATGTTTGTATATTAATTTGAGTAAATTAATTAATTAGTCAATTGTCAAATGCTAATAAATATATGCAAATATGTTTGGTATTCTTGCTTTTAATAAAAAAATGTATTGAATAATTCATTGATTTAAATACTCAGAAGTATGTGTAAATATTGTTTATTTTCTTCTTGATTTATCGATAAAATATATATTTTCTAAATATGTTAATTAAAATTAATTTGCAAAGAATATATATTATAAATATTTATACTCATTGTGAATCGGGTATATTGGATTAGTGCAATGTCCGTCTAGCTATCCGTCTGACAGTCTATCCGTAAACCATTTCGCGGTAAAAAATCGCATGGATAATCGGAAAATAGATTTTTTGCAATCTGAGAAACCTGTGCTAGAGAACTGAAATTTAAGATTTATACTTGTGCCGAAAGTCAAAATCAATAAGATATCAACGGCCATTGGGCATTTCTATTGACATACTTTAACGATTTATGCAAAAATTATATATCATATCATATCATATATATCATTTCATATATCATATACCAAGAGTATCGATACTTTGTTAGAATTGTAGATAATATTTGGAATTTCTGGGCACACATCTCAATGAATTCAATCGTTCTCAATAGTTAAAGAGCATATTGCATTTATACCATAGCCAAATGACAATCCTAACTGGCAATCCACAAAAATGATAGCCTTTATAAAACCTAGCTGATCCTAACTCTATAACTGGAAAAGTTGCAGTTTCACTGTCTTCAGATTGTAGGAGACCCGAGCTTATATAACCAGATTGGCATTCATATGGATAAACGGACTAAGTGACGCAAGCTCCATATAATTAATATTGATTCGCCTTACGCTTTTTAAAAATTCCATATATCTCCAATCCATTTACCTGATATCTGTATAATTCATGTGAGACGATTCAAAAGCAGATATATTCAAATATATATACACATGTATTATTATATAATGTGTACGCGATTCATTAAAATGTGAGAAATGCAAGGGATTCATTAGACAGAAAAATCTCCATATTTATATGATATATGATATTATGTGTAAATCGACACGAGCGATTGTTTTATAAAATATTCAGCTCACAGAATAGAAATTTATAATATCTTCTTCTCACTCCGTTTTCAGTCTAGACATAGGTTTTGTAATATTAATGAACCTACCCTTATTGTCCTATTATTATCAGTGCTACCTACCCATTTTCCAGTCGTAGGAATAATTACAGTAAATTAAAACACCTTATCGGTGCATGTAAATATATTCAAACCTGTAGAAAGACACCTTTGCGATTTGATTAAGAGTAAAGTACAAAGTTCAATTTATGCGAATATTTAATTTTCTATCTGAAATATATGAAGTATTTTATATTATTATTTATTTATTTATTATAATTATTATAATAATTTCACTGTGTTAAGAATGGTTTATCTATTGAATATAGTTGAGCATATGAAGAAATTAATTTTCATACGACCTGTTGGCCAGCTATCAACGCTATCGCATATATAGACACATAGAATGTATGTATGTATGTATGTGTGTGTGTACATATGTTGCACATCTAAAACGATTGCTATTTATGCATTGTATCTACAATTAGTCAGGCGGCAGAGTGGTCCGTTGTATGTTTGTTAAGTTCAATTGGCGCTTGGGTCAGTCGAGTGCATTCCACTTCCAATCTGATGCTCAATCTCGAACTCATCTCATGCAATCCTCTTCCGTCTCTCTTCCACCGGCGCACAGAGACCGCTATGGGCGTATCGAAGAAGACGCAAGACAAGTCCGGATTTGAGTATGCCATGGCCGTGATGAGGATGTGCGATATACTCCATGCCCGGCATCGCAGCATCTTTTTGCGCAACGAGTTCATCTTCACGCTGACGCGCTACTACAAGGAGCAGGGCCGATTGCTGAACATCATTCACGGCCTCACCACAAAGGTCATACGCAGCAAGAAGGCGGCCTTCGAGCAGGGCACACGCGGCTCACTGGCCCAAAGCGAGCTGAAGGCCGCCGCCCTCGAGCAGGAGGAGCGCGAGCTGCGCGAACAGCGGGAGAAACAGATGGCGACGGGGACCCAGCCCAAGCAGGAGCAGAGCGCTCCTGTTGCTGGCCTCTCCTACGGCCAGTCGGCGGGCCTCAAAGACGACCTGGATGTGGAGGACAACGATATTGGCGAGAAGAAGCGCTTGGCCTTCCTCGACCTAATGCTGGAGAGTGCCCAGAATGGAGCACTCATTACGGACACCGAGATCAAGGAGCAAGTGGACACGATTATGTTTGAGGGGCATGACACTACGGCAGCCGGATCTTCGTTCTTCCTATCGCTAATGGGTATACATCAGAACATACAGGATCGAGTGATCGCCGAACTGGACGGCATTTTTGGGGACTCGCAGCGACCGGCCACGTTTCAGGATACGCTGGAAATGAAATATCTGGAACGCTGTCTGATGGAAACGCTGCGCATGTTTCCGCCAGTGCCGCTCATCGCTCGCGAGCTTCAGGAGGATCTGCAGCTGAACTCTGGACCCTATGTTATACCGCGTGGCGCTACAGTGACCGTGGCTACCATTCTGTTGCACCGTAATCCCAAGGTCTACGCCAATCCCAATGTTTTCGATCCGGACAACTTTCTGCCCGAACGCCAGGCGAATCGACACTATTATGCCTTTGTGCCCTTCTCAGCAGGACCCCGCAGCTGTGTGGGTGAGTGCTAAACGAGTCCTTGTATCGATTTTCATTTACTGATTCTTCCCCCCTCCATATATATGTGCTCAGGTCGGAAATATGCCATGCTGAAGCTGAAGATTCTGCTGTCGACCATCATGCGCAACTATCGTGTCTATTCGGACCTCAGCGAATCGGACTTCAGGCTGCAGGCGGACATCATACTGAAGCGGGAGGAGGGCTTCCGAGTCCGCCTACAGCCCCGACAGCCGGGACAGGCGACCACAGCTGGCAGCACGGCAGCATCATAAACTTATGCTTATATTTTCTTGCAAGTGATAGTCCCGGTCTATACAGTAATACTACATACATACATACATAATACAGGCAGAATATAAATAACAATACACACACACACACACACACACACACACAGACAGACAGACACAAACAAAAACACACAACGAATGGATTATGTATTTTTATGGATATTTGATAACAATTTGTTTATCGTGGCAATTTTCAAGCGCTGCATTTAACATTTAACAAAGAACCATACACACACATACACAGACAGACACACGACACACTCAAGCAGCAACAATTATTAATTATATCCTTTTTTTTGTGTATTTAATAATAATATGTGTAATGTTTTGACAATATATTTGGTGTAATATTTTCGAATTTTGCGGGAGTTTTATTTGTGGGCATGGGCAACACTTCGTTCTAGAGATGGGAACAAGCTAAACATTAATGCGTGGTTTCTGTTAATAATAACAGAAACATAGCAAAGTAAGAGTGGAGAGATATGAATTACAGCTCCACATAAATGAGATACAGTATTCATTAAAAATAGAGAAATATTCAATTGAGGTAGAGGCGAAATAATCAGAGGCAATCAAGAGACTAGCAGAGGCAGAGAGATAGATTTTACCGTTGCTTGGCCAAAGTAAGAGAGATAATAAATTAGAAAACTTTCAAATATTGCAAATAAGTCTTATAATTGCACTCACAAAATTTTTTAATTAAGAATCTCATGCTCCAAAATTATATTTTTACATATTTCGTGCTTCACGGCTGAAGCCCAGCTCTAAAGCGTTAGCGTTATCGATAGTAATTGTTAGATGTGCAAGACATCTGGCAACGCCGCACAGCTGTTCCAGCGAAAGTGACACGACGACAGCCCTCAATTGTTATTAGGATTTTGGGGCTAGCGTTGGTTTTGTTTTCTTCTTTTGTGGAGTCCATTCCATTCCGTTTCGAAGATGTCCACCGCCATTGATGAACTGCAGGCAATCATTGCCGAGCTGAAAACAGAGCTTGAAGAGCAAAAGACTTCAACGCGCATTGCACGCGAACGCATCGAGCGTATGTCCGCCGAAGTTGTTGACTCCAATCCCTACAGCCGTCTCATGGCGCTGCAGCGCATGAACATTGTCAAAGACTATGAGCGCATACGTGATAAGGCGGTGGCGATTGTGGGCGTCGGAGGCGTGGGCAGCGTGACAGCCGATATGTTGACACGGTAAGCCAAATGGAAATGCAAATTTAATTAAGGCAACAAGAAGTAACATTTTCGTTGACAGCTGTGGCATTGGCAAGCTAATTCTCTTCGACTACGACAAGGTGGAACTGGCCAATATGAATCGACTGTTCTTCACGCCCGACCAGGCCGGCCTGTCCAAGGTGGAGGCAGCAGCGCGCACACTGAGCTTCATCAATCCAGACGTTGTCATTGAGACGCACAACTATAATATTACCACTGTCGAAAACTTTGATAAGTTCCTGACCACAATCTCAGAGTCCGGGCTCCAGAAGGGCCAGCCTGTCGATCTGGTGCTCAGTTGCGTCGACAACTTTGAGGCTCGCATGGCCATCAATGCTGCCTGCAATGAGAACAATTTGAATTGGTTTGAGTCTGGAGTATCGGAAAATGCCGTCTCCGGGCACATACAGTTCATACGTCCCGGCGAAACAGCCTGTTTTGCGTGCGCCCCTCCATTGGTGGTCGCCGAGAACATTGATGAGCGTACCCTGAAGCGCGAGGGCGTCTGTGCCGCCTCGCTGCCCACAACGATGGGCATTACGGCGGGATTGCTGGTCCAGAATGCGCTCAAATATTTGCTCAATTTCGGCGAGGTCTCCGATTACTTGGGCTACAATGCCCTGAACGACTTCTTTCCCAAGATGACGCTAAAGCCAAACGCTGAGTGCGACGATCGGTACTGTTTGCAGCGCCAGAAGGAGTTCCAGGCACGTCCTCAGCCAAAGGAGCAGCAGATAGATGAGGTGGTGTCCAATGAACCGTTGCACGCCAGCAACGATTGGGGCATTGAGCTTGTGGCCGAGGATGCGCCAGTGGAACAACAGACCACAAACACAACAAATGTAGCGTCCGGTTTGCGGTTGGCTTACGAAGCGCCCGACAAAGTGGACGTCAACCAGTCGGAAAGTGCAGCTGTTGTGAACGCGGGTCTGCCAGAGACGAGCTTGGACGATTTAATGGCGCAAATGAAGTCGATGTAACAAAACTAATTCCATACTCTGTTATTTATAAATATATACATATATTTACACTTTTTTTTACAACAACCGACGAAATTTAAAGCTTGAAAAATAAAAATTCGAAACGAATGGTCATTGTTATCGATAATAAGTGTTAGTTAACCGAACAGTTTAACATCAGCAGTATAAAATACTAAAAACGTACATAAAATCTTTAAAAAGTATGTTACTTTCTTGTCTTTGAACAGGTATAAATAGTTAAATTAAATGTTTTAATTTAAAACTATTTTTAAAATATAACTTCCAAAACAAACTGTTAGCAATTATCGATAAGAAAATTTGTATTCACATTAAATAAAATACTAAATATGAAAAAGCCACCCATAAAAAATACATTCGGTTATACGGTCACGCTGCAGAAAACATAGAATATCTGTCGCGTTGTCAAATTGTTAAAACAATTTGTTTTTTATTATTTATTTCATTCTTGCCAGGCAAGTTAAATAGGAATTGATTTAAATAAGGCAAGCACCATGACCAAGAAGGACGATAAAGCACAGCCCGCTGAGGAGGTAAGTTAAGAACAGCGTTTACCGGCTCGCATCTGGGCCTCAAGCTATTGAACACGTCAGTCGCCAGCCGTGTCTAAAGCAAAATATAAATTATTTGCAGCTGGTTAAGGTGAACAAGTGGGACGGCTCTGCAGTGAAACATGCTCTGGATGATGCCGTGAAGACCTGCCTGCTTGGTGATCGTCCCCACCTAAAGGAACAGTTCGGCTTGGTCAACACTCGGCTAGTGCTCTGCGCTCTGGCCGTTGGCGTTGCCATAATGGCTCACGCCTGGGATTTCACCCATCCGTTTCCGCAGTCGAAGCCGGTGCTCCTATTCAGCGTGCTGGCCTATTTTGCGCTCATGGGCGTCCTAACGCTCCATACCACGTTCCGAGAGAAGGGCACCTTTGTTGTGGCCATCCAGAAGGATGCCGGCAACAAGACATCACGAACCTGGGAGGCGAGCTCCGATATGAAGAAATATGACGACAAATACATACTGACGCTGTGTGTGCGAGATGGGCGTGGCCAGCGTGAACAGACGAGCACCAAGTCGTGTGCCGCCTTCATCGACACCAACGGCATCATTCTCGAGAATCTGGTGGCCAACGAGGTGAATCGACTATACAACTCGCTCGCAGCCGAGAAGAAGGACAAGTAGCTTCTAGAGTCGCCGCCGACGACGCCGCCGTCGATGCCGCCGTCATCCACCCAATCGCTGATTGTCTAAAATATTTTCTGCTTTCCAACGACTTTAATGTGTTTTTTTTTTTTTTTTTAATTCTCATTAAATTAATTTTAGTAAATACACTAATCTTAATACATATACATATTTCTTTGTAGTTACTATAGAGTTGTTCTATGGGATCGGAGTCTTATGTATAGCTGTGAATTAATCGTATTACTATTATGTGCTATGATAGGGAAGTGAGAAAGTTCGGCAAATGGACAAAGCTATGAGAAAAGTTGTTGTTTAATCAGACTGAGACCAAAATGATAGACATTAGGATATCCAAAAATGAAAGTTCATTCATCTATAGTTTACATCAGTGTGAAAGTATTGATTCTATGGAAAAGAAAGGACGGGCGTTCCAAATTTAGTGAAGTGTGATAAGAGGGAAGCAAACTTTTTCAATATGTTAATAATATTGATAAATCATTTATATAACTCGTGCCATTGTTCAGCCCTTGCTGCACTGCAAAATTATTTGAACTCATTTCGAAGTTCTGACTAATTTGCCCATATCATATGTACACAAACCGAGTTATCTTTGACCTTCGTAACATGGAAAAGAAGCAGAAGGATCTACAAACTTTAAGAATACTGTTGTAATAGATTGGGCTTATTCTTCAATGCCCTTTTATACCTATTACCTATAAATTGTCTGTTGTTACAAAATAGCATAGGTAAGAAAGAGAGAGGAGCAGAGTAGTTATCATACTGCGGATATATATCGCGCTTGTAGGAAAGATGTTTAAGTCATTTCTGTGTAAAGGTCAATGATATAGGTATTGCTCTATATATGTACTATATCAATATATCCTTCATTTAAATATTGTTTGCATGTCGTAGACGTCATTTTATTTTTATACCCTGTACCCATTGAAAATGGAAATCAGGATATTATGGTTACGGTTTGAGTCGATTTACCCCTCTTCGTCTGTGCGCCCGTATGTTTCAGCGCGTCGATCTCAGAAGATATAAGAACTAGAGACTTGAAATATTTTTTGCTAGGTCTGTGCATTACTCGCGCAGATCCAGTTTGTTTCCAAATATAGATAGCTGCTCCCGTTATTTTATTATCGTTTAAAACCCTAAGCGAAAATCAGCAATAGGAATATATCTCCTACATCTATAGAACTAGAGTCTTCAAATTTAAAATATATATTCGTGTGCATTTAATAGCATCGATTTTTTATATACCCAACTTTTAGCTATTTAATACTGGAAGCCAATGAAAATGTTCTTTCATCTCATCATATATATATGTGAAGCACAGATGGCATAGCAAATCTGATCACGTCGACAGTTCACATACATCGTAGATGATGTGGAAAATTTACTTTGAAGCTTGCATATCCATTGTATGAACGAGTACAAAATTAATAATTTGAAAAAAATTATTCATAGAATCATGGAAAACAGCGATGGAAATTACGGAACCTATGGCAGCGACGGTGGCAGCAACAGTGGATATCAGCGCAAGTTCTTGAGAGCCGATCAAATCCTAACTCAGGACGAATTGAAGTATATAAATGATTTGTTGGATCAACGTCTTAGGGAATTAGGCTGGCAAGAGGGGATTCGTAAAAAGAGAGAAGAAATTGTGGCAGCACGAGGTGATTCGGATGATGTCGACCTCGAGGTCTTAGCATTTGCAAACATATCGATGCCCCGAATCGTGCACATGGAGCTGGCGGAACTCATACGTAATATCTTGCTCTCGCGCAATTACTTTGGTTAAGAGCAATACTTAATTTGCTTAAGAGCAATACTGAGTTAAAAAAAACTAAAGCAAATAAAATATGAGTTTGAAATAATGCAAATTGAAAATTATACTTAAGGATAAGAACTATATATATTCTTGATCATGTTGATGAGTTGACTTGATTTACCCATGTACGTCTATATCAGTTCCTTGCAGGGTCCAGGGGGAAATGCTGGGAAATCTGGTGCGTACATAGAGAGAGGGGGAGAGCATGAAGAGAACTGTTCTCATAGCACATATGTCTGCTTCATTTGGGGATGTGTCCATTTCGTACATTGCCCTTTGTCGTGCCACACTTTCGCTGCTCGAATCCAAAGTGATCGAGCCGAGCAAATGCGAAATATTTGCTCTATTTGTCCAGTCTATGTGTTGTATGGCTAGTGGTATGCGATATACGAGCATAAATATAGTATTTCAAGTCTGTAGGATATTTAGCTTAGATCTCTGCGTTCATATGGAAGGATAGACGGATAGAGGGACATGGCTAAATCAGATCAGCGTGGCATTCTGATCAATATTATATATGATTCACAGATACTGCCCCATATATTTTCGTGACTAACGTCTACATTGTCGTATAGCTCGTATAGCTTGCTCGATATACCAGTTATTGCCAATGAAAATGCCAGTAGAGGCACCAAATAGCTTCGCCAGCATTTCGGGCAAGAGGGGCTCAGCTATAAGAATAAGAACTAGTTTGTAATATTTAATGATGCCATTTTCCACTTTGGTCTCTTTGTCTAGTGTCCTTTCGTTGAGCTACTTCACCCACTCTCACTGTCTTTGGTGCCTCTACCGCCTGTTGTCGCCCCTAAACAGCTTTAGACCAGTCTTTCTGAATGAACCAGTCAACCCGCTGGGCTACCAAGTGAACTTAGACTATCCTGAACTGAACTGAACTGAGCTTAGTAGAGCTACTCCATCCACTCTCACTGTATTCGCCCCTACACAGCTCTAGGCCAGTTTTATTAAACAGTTACTGAATGAGCCCAATCAACCCGCTGGGTTACCAAGTTAACCGAGACTGTCTTGAACTGAGCTCAATAGAGCTACTCCACCACCTGTTGTCGCCCCTACACAGCTCTAGACCAGTCTTTCTGAATGAACCAGTCAACCCGCTGGGCTACCAAGTAAACTGAGACTATCCTGAACTGAACTGAACTGAGCTTAGTAGAGCTACTCCATTCACTCTCACTGTATTTGGTGCCTCTACCGCCTGCTATCGCCTCTACACAGCCTAGACCAGTCTTACTAAACCGCTCCTGAATGAATCTGTCAACCCGCTGGGCTACCAAGTTAACCGAGACTGTCTTGAACTGAGCTCAATAGAGCTACTCCACCACCTGTTGTCGCCCCTACACAGCTCTAGACCAGTCTTTCTGAATGAACCAGTCAACCCGCTGGGCTACCAAGTAAACTGAGACTATCCTGAACTGAACTGAACTGAGCTTAGTAGAGCTACTCCATCCACTCTCACTGTATTCGCCCCTACACAGCTCTAGGCCAGTTTTATTAAACAGTTACTGAATGAGCCCAATCAACCCGCTGGGCTACCAAGTTAACCAAGACTGTCTTGAACTGAGCTCAATAGAGCTACTCTACCACCTGCTGTCGCCCCTACACAGCTCTAGACCAGTCTTTCTGAATGAATCAGTCAACCCGCTGGGCTACCAAGTGAACTTAGACTATCCGGAACTGAACTGAACTGAGCTTAGTAGAGCTACTCCATCCACTCTCACTGTATTCGCCCCTACACAGCTCTAGGCCAGTTTTATTAAACAGTTACTGAATGAGCCCAATCAACCCGCTGGGTTACCAAGTTAACCGAGACTGTCTTGAACTGAGCTCAATAGAGCTACTCCACCACCTGTTATCGCCCCTACACAGCTCTAGACCAGTCTTTCTGAATGAACCAGTCAAACCGATGGGCTACCAAGTAAACTGAGACTATCCTGAACTGAACTGAACTGAGCTTAGTAGAGCTACTCCATCCACTCTCACTGCCTTTGGTGCCTCTACCGCCTGCTGTCGCCTCTACACAGCTCTAGGCCAGTCTTTCTGAATGAACCAGTCAACCCGCTGGGCTACCAAGTAAACTGAGACTATCGTGAACTGAACTGAACTGAACTGAGCTTAGTAGAGCTACTCCATCCACTCTCACTGTATTTGGTGCCTCTACCGCCTGTTTTCGCCCCTACACAGCTCTAGACCAGTCTTTCTGAATGAACCAGTCAACCCGCTGGGCTACCAAGTGAACTTCGACTGTCCTGAACTGAGCTCAATAGAGCTACTCCACCACCTGTTGTCGCCCCTACACAGCTCTAGACCAGTCTTTCTGAATGAACCAGTCAAACCGATGGGCTACCAAGTAAACTGAGACTATCCTGAACTGAACTGAACTGAGCTTAGTAGAGCTACTCCATTCACTCTCACTGTATTTGGTGCCTCTACCGCCTGCTATCGCCTCTACACAGCCTAGACCAGTCTTACTAAACCGCTCCTGAATGAATCTGTCAACCCGCTGGGCTACCAAGTTAACCGAGACTGTCTTGAACTGAGCTCAATAGAGCTACTCCACCACCTGTTGTCGCCCCTACACAGCTCTAGACCAGTCTTTCTGAATGAACCAGTCAACCCGCTGGGCTACCAAGTGAACTTAGACTATCCTGAACTGAACTGAACTGAGCTTAGTAGAGCTACTCCATCCACTCTCACTGTATTCGCCCCTACACAGCTCTAGGCCAGTTTTATTAAACAGTTACTGAATGAGCCCAATCAACCCGCTGGGTTACCAAGTTAACCGAGACTGTCTTGAACTGAGCTCAATAGAGCTACTCCACCACCTGTTGTCGCCCCTACACAGCTCTAGACCAGTCTTTCTGAATGAACCAGTCAACCCGCTGGGCTACCAAGTAAACTGAGACTATCCTGAACTGAACTGAACTGAGCTTAGTAGAGCTACTCCATTCACTCTCACTGTATTTGGTGCCTCTACCGCCTGCTATCGCCTCTACACAGCCTAGACCAGTCTTACTAAACCGCTCCTGAATGAATCTGTCAACCCGCTGGGCTACCAAGTTAACCGAGACTGTCTTGAACTGAGCTCAATAGAGCTACTCCACCACCTGTTGTCGCCCCTACACAGCTCTAGACCAGTCTTTCTGAATGAACCAGTCAACCCGCTGGGCTACCAAGTAAACTGAGACTATCCTGAACTGAACTGAACTGAGCTTAGTAGAGCTACTCCATCCACTCTCACTGTATTCGCCCCTACACAGCTCTAGGCCAGTTTTATTAAACAGTTACTGAATGAGCCCAATCAACCCGCTGGGCTACCAAGTTAACCAAGACTGTCCTGAACTGAGCTCAATAGAGCTACTCCACCACCTGTTGTCGCCCCTACACAGCTCTAGACCAGTCTTTCTGAATGAACCAGTCAAACCGATGGGCTACCAAGTAAACTGAGACTATCCTGAACTGAACTGAACTGAGCTTAGTAGAGCTACTCCATCCACTCTCACTATATTTGGTGCCTCTACCGCCTGTTTTCGCCCCTACACAGCTCTAGACCAGTCTTTCTGAATGAACCAGTCAACCCGCTAAGCTACCAAGTAAACTGAGACTATCGTGAACTGAACTGAACTGAGCTTAGTAGAGCTACTCCATCCACTCTCACTGTATTTGGTGCCTCTACCGCCTGTTTTCGCCCCTACACAGCTCTAGGCCAGTTTTATTAAACAGTGACTGAATGAGCCCAATCAACCCGCTGGGTTACCCAGTTAACCGAAATTGTCCTGAACTGAGCTCAGCCAAGAGATGAGGCACCCATTGCTGCAGACCAGATGGGCAGATGGTGTGGCCTTTGGCTGATGTTGATCAGGAGTCTGGTGTGTGTCCTGTCTGGGTGTGCACCGATCGCAGTTGGCGTCATTTGATAGAAAATTTGTTTTGTTTTTTTTTTTTTTCATTTTGCTTGAAATTGATTGTTTTCCTTTTTCGAAGCACTGAGAGACTGTGGAATGAACCGCGAAGCAGCCACAGCATGCAGATGACAGAGTTAAATTAGGCAGTAAACAAAACTACAAGCACTTTCGGCCAAATCAAATACAAAATTCAATTGCTCAAGGTAAGCGTTAAGTTGAGGCAGGACAGGACAGGACAGGACAGGGCAGGGCAGGACCGGCGAGGCGAGCAGCTCAGCAGAGGGTGAAGGGCAGAGGGCAGAGGGCAGAGGGCAGAGGGCAGAGGGATGCGCGAAATTGTGACGCTGCAGATTGGGGGCGCTGGCAATGCCATTGGCGATGCGGTGAGTACCGATTGCTCCTAGCTGACTGATCCATCACGAGTGATAGCCGTATCCGTATCCGTACCCGTACACCGTAGTTCTGGCATGTGATCTCGCATGAGCACGGCGTGGACTATGCGTCGGGTCGCTTTGGCGGCACCAGCCAACTGCAACTGGAGCGGATCAATGTGTTCTTCAATGCAACGGCCAGCAAGCGATTCTATGCCCGATCCATACTCATCGACACGGAGGCGAGCACCGTACAGCGCCTCAGCTCCAGCAGCCAGCTGTACCGGCCGGAGAATTTTGTGGCCGGCAGCGAGAGCGCCGGCAACAACTTCGCGCGCGGCTATCACACGGACGGAGCGGCCATCCTCGACCAGGTGCTGGACAATACGCGACGCGAGGTGGAGTCCGTGGACTCGCTGCAGGGCTTCCAGCTGCTGCACTCGATTGGCGGCGGTACCGGCTCCGGCCTGACGTCGCTCATCATGGAGGCCCTGGTGCAGCAGTACCCGGACAATCTGCTCTGCAACTATGTGACCATTCCCTCGCCGAACATGTCCCAGGTGGTGGTCGAGCCGTACAATGCGCTGCTCAGCATTCCGGCGCTGGTGAACAACTCACATCTGACGTTCTGTCTGGACAACGAGGCGCTCTTCCAGATCTGCAATCGCAATCTGAAGATCCAGATGTCCGGCCATGAGCACATCAATCACATTGTCGCCCTCACCATGTCGGGCATAACCACCTGTTTGCGTTTTCCCGGCCAGCTGAACGCCGGCCTGCGTAAGATCTATGTGAATATGGTGCCCTTTCCCCGTCTACACTTCCTCATACCGGGCTTCGCGCCGCTGGTCACCTGCAAGCAGCAGCAGTTCAGCAAGGGCACCGTCGCCGAGCTGGTGCAGCAGATCTTCTCCAGCAACAATCTGCTCTGCGCCATCGATCTGCGCAAGGGCAAGCTGCTGACGGCCGCCGGCATCTTCCGCGGCCGCATGTCGCCCCGCGAGGTCGACCAGCTGATGACCGGCGTGCGCAACAAGAATATCAACAACTTCGTCGACTGGATACCGAACAACATCAAGACGGCCATCTGTGACATTCCGCCGCGTGGACTGAAAATGTCCGCCACCTTCATTGGCAACACGACGGCCATTCAGACGCTGTTCCAGCGCCTGCTCGATGGCTCCATAGCGATGCTGCGCCGCAAGGCCCATCTGCATTGGTACACCGGCGAGGGCATGGAGGAGCGCGAGTTCACCGATGCCCAGGAGGAGCTGCAGAACATTATCGAGGACTATCGCGGCAGTGGCGACAGCGGCGAGGGCGGCGGCGGTGGCGGAGGCGGCGGCTCCAATGATAACGATAGCATGGACGAGGCCGCTGCCAATGGACCCCAATGCACCTACTGTGCGGAATGAGCCGTAATCCATTGTTGTTGTTGTGTGGCATTCCGCTGTGCTTGGGTCGAATCTCTTGGCTAACACTTGGCAATTGGCCGTTGACTCGACATTTCAATTCAATCCGACTCAATCCAATTCAAATGATGCACTGCATCCTATTTATAGCCGGCCAAAGTTCGATGCGTTTAGAGTTCAGCGCACCAGCCAGTGCTGATGTGTATTATATATAATATATGTTATATATTTATATATTGATGTGTCCACATGCCGGCTAACGGGCAAAGGTGCAGCAAATTGTGCGACTCTCTATTAATAAAATGCATAATTACATACATGTGTACATGCACATATGTATCTATATATATGTATATATAAATATGTATATATGCATATATATGTGTATGTGCGTGTGTGTGCGTGGCGACGCTAACTGATGTGCCCGGCTAATCCGGCTGACTGAAAAGGTTTTTGCACTTGCGGTTGGCTATTTTTGGTCCACATGCATTCCTGGGATGCCAGCGTCGTCGCTCCTCGCAGCGATGGCAAAGATGACAAAAAATAAATAAATAAAAATAAAAACAAATACGATTGCTTTGCATCGTTTAGTCACAGGAGGCGGAGGAGGCGGAGGAGGAGGAGGGGGTGGAGGCAGCGGCGGCGACGGTGGCGTTTAGGGGGCGGGGTTGCTCATGAAAATGCAGCGCAAGTGGAGCACGCAGACACAGACGCATGCAGCATAAAACATGAATATAGATATACACAGATATCTGTGCGTATATATAAACATAATGCGAATGCAAATGTCTAAATTAAGAATTTATAGGCGGCGCCTAAGCACTGAAGTGGCGGCTGCTATGTTTAGATTAGCGCCCAATGTCCATTGCGTGTTAAGATTCCGTCAAGTGTAGAGCGCGTTCGCAGCTTGTTCTCCCTTATTTATTTTTTCTCATTTTTTTCTTTTCAATTTTCACATTGCGACTTTAAATTAAAAAATTTTTGAATTTCAAGCCGGGCCCGCGCAACTGTTTTGAAAGCGCAGAGTTGATAAATGGAAGTCGAACGGTTAAAGTGCAGCAGGTTGGCACGCATGCGTTCGTTCAGTCGTCGTCAAATGTATCGTTATCGCAATGTAAGCTGAATAATTAATAACAGTGCCACTTCGAGCGCAACAGTTTGCTGTTAAACCGATAATTTATCATATTAATCATTTATTTGCAAAATATCAAAGTATAGCTTAAAATTATTAAACAAACAAAGCATCGGTCTTTACATACTGCAATAAATTTATTTAAATCGATAATAAAATATCCAGATAGCAGCGGTCTAACAGCTGTTAACTAACTAGCTCTATCGATAATACGCGCCATTAAAACTCATATGTCATCGATAATTCAGAAGCAATAACAAAGCCGAACGAGGCGGACGTGTGACGCTCGGTGCGCTTAATTGTGAATTGAATTCGTTGTCGCTTGGTTTATATGTGCGCTGGGTTTGTGACTTTGTTATCTGTCGTTTACTAGCTGACTCTACCGATTACCACGCGTGTATTTTTTTGTTTATGTGTGTGTGCGTGCATGTTTGTCTATGGCACAAATTCAAATAATTTAACAAATCTAATGTGCCTTGCAACACAACAATTTCATTTTTCTATCGTTAATGCCGCGCTTCGACTTCAAAGATAATTTTAAATATTTCGCCTGCGAATTAAATTAGTTAAATGCAATAGCATTTCAACTAATTACTTCGTTTATTTTTTTGTGTATGTGAGTTATTTTATAAATTTTTTTTTTTTTGTGCAAAGTTGAACACACACACATAAGCAAAGAGCAGCAAACAAGAAGTTGCTGTGAGCTGCGCTGCCACTGCCGAAGTTGGCAGAACGCGACGGTATACACCAACACAACCAGCATTGAGCGTATACGTATACACACCTAGATGTGGACACTGACACAGATGCAGATACAGCAGCCAGCAGCCAGAGCAGCATTGACAAAGTAACGTGAAACGTGTTGTGCGTGTGTTTATGTGTGCGTGTGTGTGTGTATGAAATTTGTTGTGCGTGTTTGCGCGTTCAATTCAAATTTAAATGGTCTTAACATTTCAAGAAAACGAAAATAAAACACAAGACGACAAAAAAAAAACACGCAAATCGAAAAGTACTAAAACGGCAAACGCAGAGCCAAGAAATTTCCGTGACTGTTGTCGTCGCTGTTGTTGTTGCTTTTAGTGTTGTTGTTAGTGCATAGCATCCCTAGTGCTGTCACGTTTCAACTCACAGGCTGTTGCATTTGCGACGTCGGCAGCGCAGCTCAAAAGGGCGCTGGAATTTCTCGGCTTCTGTTTTGCTGCGTCCTCTGCCTCTGTTGCTGCTGCTGCGTACAGTGTGACCAAAACCTTGCGAAAAGAGCGCGCGCGCCGCGGATCTGATATTATGAACGAATTTGCGCTTTGTTATTTTCCTTTTTGTTTTGTTTTGTTTTGTCAGTAAACACATTTATTTATTGTATATGTTGTTGTTGTTCCATATATGTGCCACAGTTTAAAATTTCGTGCCGTCGTCTCAACGCATCCGCAACTACAGTACAGCCTCTCTCCGCCCCTAACACCCACCCACCCCAAAGAGAAACATATTAAAACTTAAACAGCAAAAACAAAAAAAAACAAAAACAAAAACCCCAAACGAAAAAAAGACGCAAGATCTAAATAAAAGCAAAAAGAGAAGTGTTTGTGTGCAGTTCAGTGAGAGCGAGAGAGAGAGAGTGAGAGGAGAGAGCAGAGAGCAGCTGCAGCTTGAAACATGTTTACCGAGGAGGGCATCTTTCCCATAGGCGATGGCCTGCTGGACGTTGATGCCGAACGCTTGAAGGGATTACTTGTGTCGCATGACATCAACGAGATCTACGAGGTGGAACAGACGCCGTTTGCCAGGTGAGTGAGAAACCGGAGCACGAAACGTGTTTTTATTTTTCTTTGCTTCTTCTTCGTCATTTGCTGTTTGCTGCGGCTGCGGCTCAAAAAGTTGCCAAAAAAGCGAAAACTGCGTCTGCAACATGTCCAGCGAGCGACAAGCACACAAAAATGCTTAAAGAAAGTCAGTCAACAGTCAGTTGGTTATTTTTGTTTTTTTTTTGTCTTTTTCCTTTTTGTGTGTGTGTGTGTGTTGCTTGAAAACTGAAATCTTCTGCGCAGGCGCCGCAGCAGCAGCAGCAGTAGCGAGCTAAAAAACTTGTTTCTGTATTTTTCTGTGCGCAGTCGGATATCTGTATGCGTGTGTGTGTGAAGTAGAAGCTTGCACACATATACATGCACACACACACACTCATGCACTACTGCACACATGCACAAACAAAACACAAGCGCTGAAAAACTTGCACTGGGCACTCTTTTGCGCCGCTATTACTGTTGTTCATGTTGTTGTTGTTGTTGTTGTTGTTGCTGTTGTTGTTATTATTATTGTTCCTGTCTTTGCCTGCCCTTTGTGGCATTTGCTTTTGCGCATACAAACAAAAATAACATCAACAACAACAGCAACAGCTATAGCAACACCAATACCACAAAGCAGCTGTTCCCGTTTGCCGCCTTCGCCTTCGCCGACTGACCCCTCGCTTCATTTTGCATTAATTTCGCCGTTGCCGTGCATTTTGTACGATTGTTGCTTGATTCGCCTTTTCGCCCTTAGTCTGCGACAGCCGTTGCTGTCCCTATCGCCGTCGCCGTCGCAGTCGGACAACCTTTTCTGCTAGATTTGCATTTTTTTTTCTTTGTGTTTTTCATTATAATTTGTTTTGCATTTCGCTTTATGCCTTTTCCGCTTTCCGTTCCATCATCGACAGTGGCAGTGGCAGTGGCAGCGGCAGCAGTTCGCTCATTAGTTTTGTTTTATTTGGTTTTTATTCAAAATCGTCTCGTCGCGTCTGCCCAACTCCAATTTGCATAAGCATTTCGCCTGCTTTTGCTTTTGTTTTTTGCTCTTCATTTAGTTATGTTTCCGCAGCAACTTCCTAGATGCGCTGCTCCTGACCTTCTCTCTCGCTCGCTGCCTATTTTTAACTATTCTGACAGCGGCAATTAGAGCAAAAGACAGACAAAGAGAGGGAGGGGGCGTAGAGCGTGCTAAAGGAGCGCGACATTGCCACTTGAGACGACGCCTTTCCCCATGCCAGTCTGCTTGCCTCAGCTCCCGTTGTTCTTTCTAAGTACACTAGAAAATAACAGCAGAAGAAGAAGAGTGACTGTGAAGGTCGTTCGCTTCGCCTCAGTTGCATTAAGCGCTCGCACGCTATCTCTCTTGCTCTTCCTTCTCTTGCTTAGAAGAGCAGCTCAGAGACAATAGACGAAGAGCCGAGCCGCTTTATCGGCAGCTCGGGCGGCTTTAAAGCTGCTGATAAGCGCTCTCCACGCATCAGCGTAGGCAAACAATTTTATCAGCTATCGATGGGCTGATTTCGTAAACGCGCAACGGAATCACGAAACGCAATAAAGCACACACACGCACATATACATCGATACCAATACATATAGAGACTCGTATCAGCTTTTTTTTTTTTTTTTTTCTTTTTTGGTCTTATTTAACTTGAACTGCAAGGCTTATCATATCATATCATATCGATCGTTATTTCTTTAAACACATTCTACAGGTGCGAAAATGTATGTATATACATACAAAGTTATATAAAGTTGTATATATATGTATATGTATATTTAGTATGTGTATGCCATTTCTAGAGATAATACATACATATGTGATATTTGTAGACATTTTCCAATGCAAGAAATATTTCTCCTAAGTAGCGAACTCCCCATCATTACCGTAAAAAGTGTCCCGGTCGCAAATTTGTCAGAGAATATTATTGCCATATTATTGACTCCGAAAAACTTCTTGAATTTCGAATACCTCTACAACTATAAATTTTGATTCGTAAGTAGCAATGCTAACGACCGAAATCTAAAAAATTTACACAATTTTTAGAGCGCATTCGATTTGTATTTGGCTTTATAACTGAAATGAAACATTTTCGAAACAACTGTGTCTCGTTCGCGCACTTAACATTTGTTAATTATATTAAACAGCTGTGCGTTAATTGTTAATTACGCTAAATGCTGAATGGATACAAACAATATTTACACCTTTTCCCGTTTCCCGACTCACATTGCTGGCTGATAAACAGATATGCTTTAAGTTTAACTACTTCAGAATGAACGGAAAACACTTTTTAGCTGGGCTCGAAAATATATGTATATATTCTTTGTTCTTGTCAACTACAATTGCTATACTAAAGTCAACTCAATTTGAAATTGGTCTATAAAATCATGCCTGGAAGTCGAGGAATATCTTCAAATTCCCAGATCTGGTCTGGATGGCTGCTATATATGATATATAGATAAGTCTCAGGCCCTTACTAATGTCTGAGAGTATCTGCTAGTCGGGCATTCCCAACTTGATCAGACTTCTATAGTTCTACCTTTCTTTCTTACTTTTTTTTGGGTCGTTGCTTATCAACACATTTTTGGAGCGTTTCTTCCATGCAAACAGAATTTTCGTTTGGGCCTTCGATTTTTCTTGGCTAAAAAGTTGCGTTTGTTAAGTTTTGGGTATTGTTTTTTTTTTTTTCGTTTAGTCCAAACTTCTGGGACAGCTTTTTGTGTCAGTTTTTATCGCAGTTTTTTCATTTTCTTTGTTGTTGTTTTTTTTTTTTTTTTTTTTATCATTTTTTGTAGATAAGCAGGCAAAAGGTTTTTTCGTTCTTCTGTTTTTTTGTATTCGTTGAATTTGTTTAGTCAAGTTTATTTACGAGCTTTGGCTTAAACTTTTTACGTCGAAACGGCCGATGCGTAGCCAAATAGATCGTAAATGGCCCAGATAAAGCACGATTAACAAATACTAAAGAAGTAGCTGAAGCAGAAGAAGACGTTGATGATGAAATATCAGCGAAAATGTGAATACGATAATTACCTCTGAATGCGATTGTGCCATAAGCGGAAGTGTTTCTTCTTATAATGCTCTTATTGTTATATAAATATATAAATAATTTGTTCGTTCTTGAAGGGGGGAATTTCGCAAAAAGAAAGATTACTCTAATGATTTGTGATATGCGTCTGGTATTTGCATTTTTTTGGGGACGAAAACAGGCGAAATTAAGGGGAAAACTCATAGATAAGATCATTTTTTTAGCACGATGAAGCAGCGAAGCAGGGCGTGATCGATAAGTGAATCATAATTAGTGTTGGGAAAGTCAAGTGGGTAATAATGCCCATTTTAGCTTAACGATGTATGCAAATACAATTGATAATTGATTAATTTTCGGATAACATCTCATTGGACTATCGATTGACAAGAGATACTTAATAATTAATTAAAAGTTAAATGTTTAAAACATGGTGAACTAAAGCCTTTCGATTTTCTGCATGTTAATAGACTGCTGCTTTATCTTATCATTTAGAGCTCGATAGCAGATTTTTTACCTATAAAAGTATCGATAATTAATCGATATTCGCTTGAAATAAATAAAGCCAGTTGTTCATACTGATTGATTTTAGTTTGTCTCTATGAAAGGGATAAATTCTGGAATAATTCTTGATTTATCAGTTTATCGATAAGCTTTCCTTTACTAATCGATAATCAGTTAAATGAGCTCTTGACAGTGCCACAGTCAATATTCCTTGACACATTAAAGAGCTCACTCAGCGAGCCACAATGTTCAACTGAAATCAATATACACATCGAATCGAATACAGACACAGAGAGAGAGAGAGAAATATAGGGGAAGGTAGAGTTGACAAAGGGGCGGCGGAGAGTTGAGGTAGCCAAAAACTAGTTTCGTTGACGCTTTGGCTACTGAAGAGGCTCTTGAGGACGGACGTTTGAGGGCCATAGGAGCTATGACACTTTCCAAAATCATTTGCCGGACGGGGGAGCAGGCGAAGGTGCATGTATACGTGTTTGTGGTTGTGTGTGTGTGTCTGTGTGTGCAAGGGGATACTTGAACAAAAGTTGGAGCACCCGAGCCGGGCGTCAAAGATTATTCAACGAATCCACTTTCGCTTGCCGAGCCATAAAACGAGGGTTGAATGACGTCGTTAGCCCAGGGCGTGGGCTCAGCCTGTGAACCTCGCCCACGCACAAATTTGTTTGCCACGCAGCCACAACATAGCTGTAGCCGAAGAGCAAGAAGAAGCAGCAGAAGATGTTGGTGAATAAACACAAACAACAACAGCAAACACATTCGACAAGCACCACCCACGCGACTCCAGCGACTCCAGCGACAGCAACAGCAACAGAAAATCGAGTGCGTCACAGAACAATTTTGGGTGGCATCAGCTGTTTGCATATTTTGGGGGTTGATTGACTGGGTTAAGCTACCTTCCCAAATGGCATAGTTGGCTTTGAGGTTATGTCCAATGTAAATGACATAAACATGCACAGACACGTGCATAAGCTGCAGTTGCAGCAGGCATAGAGAAACGTGTGTCCCGACCGACCTAATTGAATTATAATTCCTGTTCGGATCAACAATTGCATCAAGGGAGGAATACATACATATATAGTGTAAGAGTGGATAGATTTGGACCTGGTATGCAAAAAGAAACAAAAATCAATATAAAATATACTGAATATATGTATAATTTGAAAACTTAAGTTATAAAGATGAATGATATGTAATAAAATTGTTAATCGATAAGACTAGAATGGGAATAGTTATCGATTTTTGCAAGCGCTATACAGCCACGTACAAGTCTGAAACTCTTATAGGTTCTGAAATTGACGGGTTCAAAATAACGGACTTATATATATGTATATACTTCTTTTCTCTCTCGCTCCTTCTGTCTGTTACAAACATTTCAGCAATACCATTGTACCCAGATTTTCCATTTTCAATGGGTTCGGGGTGAGCATTATGCAAGCCTTATATATATACATATATACTCAG